GAGTGTTATTGTCCTCTTATAACATTATTATTAGTTAAAGTGACTTCATTTGTGAGATTCTCAAACATTATCTTTTTACTAACATAATAACATGTAATTTGTATAGTTTCTTATAACCTTTAATTTGAAGCATCGATAAACGAACAAATCATATTATAAGTTGGTTTTGATAATTATCTGAATTTAAGTGTGTGAATATCAATTTTTTTTTTATTTGATTTCACTTATTATGTTTGTTTAAGTTTGGTCACATCTCTTGGGTGTCAACTGACATTGCGTTCAAATTTCAAACATAAATTATATCACTTTGCTTTATAAAAAGAATATCAAAAATATATTTTTTTAAAGTTTAATGACACATTTTGAATACAGGACACACTGAAATCATATCCACCAGAAAACAAGATGATGAAAAGAGCGTCGCTAATTGGTGTCTCGACAACCACTTTGTTTTACATGCTTTGTGGGTTAACCGGTTATGCAGCATTTGGAAACGATGCACCAGGAAACTTCTTAACCGGTTTTGGATTCTACGAACCTTTTTGGCTTATCGACTTTGCTAATATATGCATTGCCATCCATCTTATTGGCGCATATCAGGTATTTTTCTTATTCATCTCATATTTGAACCCTAAACCTCATGAAATCTACTTACCTCTTAGAAAAGACTTGAACTCCCAACCTTATGAAAGGATGCCTAAACAAGCTAGATGTAACCATGCATTAGATGCCCAAAACAAGTTAGACGTAAAAGTGTTGCATAACTATGTCATAGAATGGAATGTGATATCATATTTTGTTTGAAAAATAACTTTTTTGATTTTTTTTTTAAATTTCTGCAAAAGGGTTATAGTTGTCTAGAAATCCAACACATAAACTAGCTAATCTTACCATTTTGACTTATGAGTAGTTTACGAGTAAGTTAGATTTGTTGTTAAAAAAAATATATATCTACAAGAAGCTAAACCAATGTTCGGATTAAAACTTTCATACTATTGTTGGGTAGATTAGGAAAAGGGTGAAAATTGGTGCATCAACAAATAGTTCACCTAAAGTTTTATAACTAACGAAAGAAAAAAAACTAAAAATTGCAGGTGTTTTGTCAACCAATATTTAGGTTTGTTGAGAAGAAATGTCAAGAAAAGTGGCCCGAATGCAAGTTCATAATGGCGGATCATACTATTAATGTGCCATTTTGTGGAGAGTACTACTTCAACATGTTTAGATTGGTGTGGAGGACAACGTATGTGATGATAACCGCATTGATTGCAATGATTTTTCCTTTCTTCAATAGCTTCTTAGGGTTGATTGGGGCCGGGTCATTTTACCCTTTGACAGTTTATTTCCCGATCGAGATGTATATTGCTAGGGTCAAGATACCAAAGTTTTCATTCATGTGGGTGTCATTAAAGATCCTGAGTTGGACTTGTTTGGTAGTCTCGTTGGTTGCAGCAATTGGATCTGTGCAAGGACTCGTGACTGACCTCAAGAAGTATCAACCCTTCAAAACTGAATAGAAGCATAAATGATAATAACGAATGGTATTATTACTAACTACTTGTTGTTTTTGCATATGGCGATTGCTCACAAAAATTTATAGCAATCATGATAAACTCGTTATAAATAGTGGAAATGTAATGAAGCTATGAGAATATATGATTGGTTATTATTATGGTTACCGTATCATATGTTAGATTATTATTTCATAAGGTGTTATTTCTTGCAACCATATATGGGAATGATATATTTTATGGATGATGTATATTTACTTTTTTTTTTTTAAATTTTATCACATAGTATTAATAACTATAAAAAAAACAATGAAAAAATATGTAAATTCATGACACTACTTTGGTTAATGAGAAAAGCACTTTATTAAAAAAGAAACGTATGCATTATGGCTACGAATTCATGAGTAAACTCAAAATCACAAAAAAGTAATCGTGTGGTCCTATATTTTTCGTGTAAAACAGAATTTAGAAAGACTAAAAAGAAAAGGAACAACAAACAAAACTAAAGTTAGAACAATAAATCCACAATGATAAAAACAATGATATCATAGAGCAACATCAAGAAGAGTAACGTTCATGAACAAACTAAAAATTGCAACCAACTTTAGAAACAACCTCATAAATAGCAACCAACTTGATAAGTCACCTTAAAAACATCCACCCTAAGAGAAAAGACATATGAATGGTAACGTAGAAACAACAACATACACCTGAAAAAACATAACGAAGTCATCGAATTTGGGCTGCTTAAGACATAAAAAGAGCAATAACATAAATAAAGTTAACAAAACAAGGAACATGCTCTTGAAATAGATTAAAGTATGCATCTTAATTGAGCACCACCAAGATATATATATATATATATATATATATATATATATATATATATATATATATATATATATATATATATATATATATATATATATATATATATATATATAGGATATAGATCCGGTAAGAAATTTTTTTTGTTAGGAAGGTAAGAAGTTTTTTTTCTACATATTTTTTTGACGAACAAAATAAATGAATCACTAGATGACTCATTTGTAAGATGATTCATAAGAAAAAATTCCCAAAAAAACATCTTTATGATTCATTTTTAAGTAAATTAAGAAAAAATTCATTTTTATGATAATTTTAGTGAATAATAACAAAATCATTGTATAAATGATTCATCGAGATGTTTTTTTGAGAATTTTTTCTTGTGAATCATCTTACAAGTGAATCATCTAATGATTCATTTTGTTTGTTCGCGAAAAAAATATGTAGAAAAAAATTTCTTACCTTCCTACCAAAAATTTCCTTCTTATTTGATCTTGACTCTATATATATATATATATATATATATATATATATATATATATATATATATATATATATATATATTCAAGAATCATTATGAAATGATATTTACTAATAATATATGATCCTAAATGACCACACCTTAAATAACAATTTGTTATTTATTACGTAATATGATTAATAATAAATTTAATCAAAACTTGTACTTAATTGGGAAATTATTATTTTATGAAAATAGTAATAAAAGAACGTATACTTAGTTATATATATATATATATATATATATATATATATATATATATATATATATATATATATATATAGTATGATTAAAAGATCATATACATTATATTAGACCTATTGAAGTCCACTAGACTTATAAGTGTACATATAATCATATACTAGAGTGTGTTACACATCTTCTTCCATCTCTCTCATAAAAACTATCCATACTAGTACAAGTATGGATAGTTTATGTGCTTTGACTTCTTTTTAAACCACTTAGCTTACTTGTAAGTTATAAGATCATTTACTGAAGGTATGGGATGCAATATGCGTGTAAGTAAAATAAGTTAAATAACTAAATCTAGTTGCTTTTATCTTCTTCTTTTTTAATCAAAAGATGAGAGTTCTCATCCTTCTCTTTTCCTCTCTCTAAGAATCTTGTTGTGTAGTTTTTTGTGCTTTAATTGGTTCTCATTTGAAGACTTATTTTATATAAGTCTTAGAGGTTTAAGGACAACTATAATCAAGTGAAGGACTAGTATCCAATAGCGGCTTGGTGACTTGTTTTTGTGGATACATATAGAGACATTCTTCTTTTGATATTTTCCTTCTTTATTAACTACCAAGCATTCCCTTGAGGACTCAAATGACTACAAAGGTTGTTATAACTTTTACATCCTTTATGGTTGTTATTTTCTTTACAATCTTTGCTAGTAGCTCCTTTGGTGGGTATAAACTAGTTTACGTTGTTCAAATTATAACAGTCTTATGTTGCTAATATTGTGTTTTAAAAATATTTTTTGAATAAAAACCTAAAAATTTGTATCAGAGCTTCATTGCTAGCTTGGTTAGAGTTAATGATTATTGGAATCATCTTGGTTTTTGGAAAATATTGATAGCTTGTAACAAGTGATGGTTTTAAAATAAAAAATATTTTTATAAAAACCATAATAATGTCAAATTCTAAAATAGTAAAATTATACATCTAAAATGGTGATTTTGAAACTTATCAAAATTCCAGAGTATTAATAATAAACGGACGTTATATTAAAAGATATATATGGTTCTATAATGTTCAAACCTTAAACTTAATATTAGATATTTACTTTAAAATTGGACCACGCCAAGATACAAAAACTAGAGTTTATATGGAACCTTAAAAGTGATTTTTTTGAAAATCAATATGATGGCTTATTGGATACATGCAATAATCATGTTATCGTATGTTTTAACATAGAATGATAAAACATACAAATCCCTTCCAAAAAGGAAATTATTGGCTATCTAATTAAAGGAACATCTGCACACCATTTAGGATAAAGGTCACCTAACCGTTTGTATTATCTTTTGATGACCGAAGTATATTTTCGATTTTTATAACCTAGTTATAGATCGATTATGCAAGTTTCTCAGATTAGATGACGTGATCAGAAATCTCTTATGATAAAGGTTACCGAAGAAAGGGTTTCAAGATATAGACGGGATCAAACATATCAATTAACAAATGTATTGTTAAGGATCCAATACATCTAAGAGGTACACGTAGTGTAAGTAATAAAAGTTATTTACCTTGTTGAAATCAAGTGGATGGGATAAAGGTCACATAACCATTTATTTGAATTACAACTTGGATCCTAGACTTTAAAAATTAAAGTTTTTAAAACTTAAGGGTATTAAATTGTAAAGAAATAAATACTAAATTAAACTTTGTAAAAATTATGTATATGGTCCCACCTATAACTATAACACACCTTCACCTAATTAACATTCGATCTGTACTCGACAAATAAAATTTTGGTTATTCCAAAAATAAAGAGAGATGAAACTCTGAAGGTTGACACCAAAACCTCAACAACCCTCAAGTCCTCATTAAAAACATTAACTGGGACTTAACTCAGCTCCAAAGATGATATCTTTGGAAACGATTTAGAAGAATATGTATCTGAGTTAATCAAGATCATGCCCGACATACTCATTAATCCTCGACCCATCTCAATGACAACCATAAGTCAAAAGCCTCCAATTAATCATGTTGAATCCTCCTCAAACTACACTAATCGAATATCAAAAGAACTCAAGTATACTGGTAGTCCAGGAACGTCCTTAGACAACTTTAAACTTCTAGAAGTAAAACTTGACTTGATTCTTCAATCGTTGCCAAAGTTTTCTCCTTCAGAGTTAAAGTTGATCACCTTCGATGAACTGGAAGCAACACCTCAGAAGGTTCTCTCCACTTCATCCTTTACCGAAGAAGCCCTGTAGGAGTTTAAGGAACTTCAAACCTCGGTTTCCACATCTATCGTATAACTCTCCATGGAGATTTCTGACCAAAATACATATGTTAAAAAAGCATTTCGTTTATTCTCTACTGGAGGGGAAAAAAGCATGGAGATTGTAACATCCGTTTCATGCTATTTCTGGGCCTTAGGCTAGGAGTCGATTGTATAAGGCTTTAGGCCTTAAGGAGGCAAAGTTTAGTCCTTGTGGAAGGATGTAATGAGAGTTAAGAGTTTTAACCCTTGAATTGTGTTTTGGGCCGAAGGGTAGAAAAGGAAAAGTCATAGGCTGGGTTCTTGCATGAAATATGGATTTTTTTTCAAGAAGTTTTTAGTCCAAGATATTTAGATATATTGCATGGCTCTTTAACAAATTTTCATGGATATAAGGATCGTTGAAATTAGAGTTAGAACGAAGAAGTTATGGCTATTCGAAGATAGGGATGTTTTGGTTTAGTCTAGTACATTGTGCGTATAGGGTGTACGTCGAGTGTAATAGACATGGCAAATAGAGGAGGGCTAACCTAGTACGTTGGGGGTACCAAGAGTATGTTGGGCATACATGATTAGATGTTAAACCCTAATTTGAGGGTTTTAAGCCTTATTTAAGCTCCTTAACTCCCCAAAACCCTTTCCATTCTCAACCTCCACCTTTTTAATGTCCTCCCTTGAAACCCTAACACTAATTTGAGCCTTGTGAGAACAAGAAGGTGTTTTCAAGTGCTTTGGAGTGTTCTTGGTGCATCTTGGAGAAGGAGCTCATTATAGAAGTGTTGGTTGCATTGGAGCTTATAGATCCATACCTTGTTCACCTTGATCTTTATTCTGGAGGTATAAAGTTGGAATCTTGATGATGTATTTGTTAGATATAGCTAGTTTTGGGTGTTATGAGCTTTTTGTCACTTTAATTGAAAAGTTTAGATCTTGAAAGTTTGTGACCTTGTTATGGATAAAGTTGGAAACTTTATCCATCTAAACATCATATTGATTCAAATCTCAAGGTTGGAGACTTGGACTTAATGGATTAAGTTGAAAAAGATGGACTTTTGGTCCCCTTTAGACTTAAAGATGAGATCTTGTTTGTTGGAAAAATTCTAATGGATAAAGTTGGAAAATTTATCCGTTATGAAGCTATTAGGAACCAGAAAAATGTGATCTTGGTCCTTCTATCCCTTCCATGCAAGATTATGATGTCTTAATGGATTAATAAGTTAGGGTTTTGGCTTTTGAAGCTTTTCTAGCCATGGAAAGTCATAAAGGTAGAAACTTTATGACAAAAGTCGATGTGTTGAGACTAGATCTGAGCTCTGTACAAAAAGGTATTATGTGATAAAGTATTTAATGGAGAAATAAGATCAGGTTGTGTTGTTGGGCATACGAGGAGTATGCTAGGCGTACACAACTGCCATGGACTTTAACTTTTTTAAAATCTGTTGACCATTAACTTTTGACTAAGTTTGACTTTAAGTAAAACTTAAGGGTTTTGGAATGTTAATTAAGGGTTTACTTGGTTTTGGTGATTAGCGGATTTTCGGGAGCATGAGATGCAGAAAGGGAAACCTGTCTTAATTTTTTGGGTTTCTTCATTTCAGGTGATTTTTGCCTTATTGTACCTGTGGATCCAAGGCACCAATGCCTACCCACTAGTTTTGGTTATCTTTTAGTAGAGGGATGCCATAGGGACTGTATATAGTCACGTAAGATAGACTAAGGACTCTTGATTTAGGCTTTCTTGCTTGTTCCTTGTTTGGTTGTGGCTCTTGAGTAGGATCGCCTGTATGGGTGTCTATCTCACCTCTGAGTATATATGGTTATGTATTACTTGGATTGTTGGTATTTAGTATGTTGATATGTTGTAATGATCTATCATATATGTATCCTGGTACATAGGATGTTGCTATATTCTAGTGATCTGTTAGGGTTGTATCCTGTTATGTAGGATATTGTTACGTTGTAGTGATTTGTTAGATCTATCTCTTGGTATATAGGATGTTGCTATGTTTTAGTGATATGTTAGATCTGTATTATGTTATATAGGATGTTGCTATGCGATAGTGATCTGTAGATCTGCCTGTTGTCTGTTGATTGGTTATATGATTATTTGTTGTTAGATATATGTTATTTTTTATGTATATGTCAACATGGGCATTCTAATCGGGAGGTTATGGGCCAGAGGTAATTCAACCAGGAGGTTGTGGATCATGTATCTATTGGGCAATCAAACTGAAAGGTTGTGGGACAGGGCATTCCAACCGAATGGTTGTAGGTTGGGGGATTCAAACGGAAAGGTTGTGGGACAGGGGTAATCCAACCAGGAGGTTGTGGACCAAATATCTATTTGGTTATATGTTTGGGTGGTGGTACTTTGGGGGAACTCACTAAGATTTGGCTTATAGTTTCAATTTAATGTTTCATGTACTTCAGTTGCCCGTGGCAAGGAGAAGGCGTGATCGTGCACATCCTTTAGATTTTATGTTATTTGGATTTAGGGATACTCTAATTATTGACTATCACTTTTGAGACATTGTTTTATGAACAACTATTATCATTGGGTTTCTTTTTGAAAAACAAAAATTTTACTCTGATTTTTGGGATGTTACAAGTTCGTATCAAAGCCTTGGTTTAAAAGAAATTGATGAACATTCATGTGAATCCAGAATTAAACTAAGGATCTGCAAAAGGTTTTCAAAAAAATTGTTTTTAAAAGTAACCAAGGAAGGATTTGATATGTACGATCAGTTGGGGCAAGAAAGTATACCCCAGATTACCACAGTGTTATTTGTTATGATATGATAGCACTTCATATTAGTGATAGGCTAGGGATCTTCAGGAATTACATTATAGAATTACTTTGATGTATGATGCCTGATAGCCTAGGAGAAATTCTTGTACAAAATTGACATCATTACTGTAGCTGCTTAGTGTATGCATCATAGTTGTACATAACAAATTTTTTTATAGCCTAACAATATTTGGTTTAGCCTTATTTCATGTTCCTTGTTTGGTTATGGGATTAGGCTAGAATCAAGTATTCGACTATCTATAGGATCCAACATTATGTATGATTAACATGCACAAGTGGCTGCAGGGTTGGTGGAAGTTTCATGGGTGAATAGGTGTGTAAGCAGCCGAGCAGATGAGGAATGATTAGACGCTCTCGAGAGAGTGGGGGTAGGATGTGTGGTATCCTAGTGGTGGTTTTTATTTTGGGATGTTTGTGATGATCCTTTTTGAAAAATACCGGTAGGTGTGGAAGGTAGTATGGGCGGGTACTACTTGAAGCACATGACCCATAGACATGTCAAGTGTAACATCCCGATTTCCAGGAATGAGATCTTAGGGATTTTCATGCAATTAAGGAAGCCTACTCGATGAGTTGGAGGCGCCAACTCGTCGTGTAGAAACTAGTCAACCCGTATAAAATTTAGAACCTACTCGACGAGTTGGAGGACCTAACTCGACGAGTTGAAGCTGAATATGAAAACCTTAATTTTTAGAGTTTGGACCCTATTTAAAGGACCTTAAGTCCTCTTTCCATCCTCGTTACCACCTTTTCACATCCATAAGCAAACCCTAATCAAGCTAACCCCTATTTTGAGTGTGTGTGAGTCTAAAAGTGTGTGTGTGGTGCATTTCTTGAAGAGACTTGAAGAGTTAGGTGCTTGGAAAGAGAAGAGGCTTATAAATCCAGCATCTACATCTTTTTGACATTCATTTGGAGGTAAAAACATTTTAGCTATGAAATTCTATTCTCGTGTAGTCATTTAACTATTGTAAAACACATACTCTAAGTAAATATCACCCAATGCTCATTTAAATTCACCTCTCATGTTCAACAAAGTGTTTGAAAACCCTAAGAATCCCGGTTTAAGTTCATTATTGGACTAGGTTTTCCTTATTGGGCCATAATTAATCCAGTTAACCCTAATAAGCCATAAGTCCATTCTTTTATGCCATTTGGGCCGTGAACTACCCTAAAGGCCCAATGGGCCGAAAAGCAATTATTAGGCCTCATAATTTCGAACCAAGGCTAGAAATGGGCCAAGCTAATCTAACTCCCTTCTCTTTAGCCCATTTTCGACCTAAGTAAAATAAAAAAGGGAGAAATGGCTAATTATCCAAGCCATGCCACCTCATTAATGCATGGAGGTAATCCATGCAAATTACCCTTTAAACAAATACCCAATCCCATACATCCATGCACCTATCACATCTTAAACTCTCTTCCCTCTTTCTTTTTCTTCCTCTCGGCCGAAGATAAGGACACACACACACACATCACTTGCAAACTTCTCTTAAATAATCTCTCAAATACTCATAAGAACACTCCTTCCTTTCCTCTCTAATTTTCGTGATTTTGAGCATCTTCAAGAAGGTTTACACCACCAAAAATCCTCATTTCTTGGTAAGTCCTTACATATCCAATTTATATAACTTCATTCTCATGTTATATCACTTCATCTAAGCAAGTTTTTCGTTATCATACTCCTAGAAACCTCCTAAGTTCTAGATCCACTCAAGAAAGCTTGCTAGGACCAAAAATCTCTTCATCTCTTCTTCAAAAACCGAAACATCAAGCAAAGGTGAGTTCATACGCCCTTTTATTTTTCCAGTTTTTACATGATATTTGGAGGAGAATACAAATAATATGTGTAGATCTATTTGTTATATGCATGTCTTGTGTGATTTCTTAGTTTATTTTGTAAAAATGTGTTAGATCTTAACAAATCTGGACATCTTAAGTAACATTGAGTAAAGATCCATGAACTAAGACACCTTACACATCATATTATCAATTTAAAAGTGTTTATATGTTTAAGATATAAAAATTTAAAGCAAAAACCTTGTTAAGGGTCAAAATTGTCAAGAAAACAAAAGATAAGGGAAAAAAGTGACAATTACGGTTTTTAAAGGATCAAACAGGTGCTACTTGTATAAAAAGAGATTTTTAGGATAAAAATGCTTTCCAAAGAGCCAAAAATGAAA